GTAACTACGGGATGTCAGGCCTAAATATTAAGCTTAAAGTATCTTGTCACGCCTGTAACAAGACAATCTTAATAAAGTTAAAAATAAAATAAAATAAAATAAAATAAAATAAAATAAAATAAAATAAAATAAAATAAAATAAAATATAACTATTTTACTAATTTTAAATATATACTAAATTAATCAAAATACTAACAATTACACTAAATAGAAAAAATTAGAAGATGGTGTAGAATTTCGGCTACTAACAAATGATGATAAAACTAGTTATAAAGAAGAAGAAAATGAGCAAGTAAGTATAATTTTTTAAAATTTATTTTTTATTATCTTATAATAATTGATTATAGCCAAATCCTGAAAGTAAATATAATTTAAAAATTAAATTTATTATTATAAACTTATATAAATAAAATTTTAATTATGGGATGTGGCAACTTAGTAAAGTGATGAAGTTGTCGCATTTCCAAGTGGCAAGATCAGAGTTCGAATCCTATTAACAATAAAAATTTGAATTTCAGAATGTGTTATGGCAGACTGTGAGTGTAATCAGACAGATTGGTATCCGTAATCTGATTGTATCAGTTTGTACTGAAAGACTATAGAATAGTAGTATAATGCACAAGTTATACAAAGCCCAAGTAAAACAGCTGTATAAATTCAGAGTCGATACACATGGAAGCCTACTTGGCAAAATCTGAATAAAGAGGTAGCACAGATCTTTAACAGTACTATATAAAGAATTATCAACTAGGAAACTGGAAAATCAAATGAAACCAAAGTGTTTAGCAAAGCACTCTACCAACCTGGCTGCTAGAGAGTAATTGGAGAAAAAGGACCTAACTGTAGGGATCAAGAGCAGGTCACAGCCCTTCTGTGCTATCTAAATTGGAAGTTTGGAGTGACAGGTAATAAAGGATAGTCTGTATAGTGGATGCTAAGATTTGAGTGAACTCTATAAGGGCAGTAGTAGGTAACTGTATCAGCCTCAGCTTACAAGTACTTGTCCTTAGACTCAGTGTAAGTTATCAAAGAAGACTAAATAATACAGTAATAATGAGTCCAGACTGCTTTAGCAGGTAATGCACTCGAGGATGAATTGGTTAATTATACTAGTAGTCCTATAGTTAGCACATGACGATCTTGGAATTTAGACTGACTTATATATCACATATTCTGGGTGAGGTTAGATAGATTGTCATAGGAAACTTGGATCAAAGGATTTAATTGAGTAACTCAAGTAATAGTAGATTATAGGTACAGCATCTAGTGTAGAACCTAGTAATAGGTAGATACTTAATCAGACGTTTAAAGATGCAGATATGGCTAGAATATATCCTCTAGAATTTCGCAATTCGATTTGATCAATTTGATTTAATCAAATATTTAAATCAAATCAAATTCAAATCATAGATTTATTCAATTTGATCAAATTCAAATTGACAAAATATTTGATTAATTTGACAAATATTTGTGATTTGAAGTGAAACAATATATTCAATAGCTATTTACACAAAATTTTATTATAATAACTGCTATTTTCATTTTAACTAACTAGGGGTATTTTGATTAGAAGAATATTTTTTATTTAATATACAAAATTAATCAATTAGCTTAGTAAAATTTTGTGTAAATTGAGGTTTTTGAAAAGTGACAAAATTTTTAAATTTTTAATAATATTTGAATATTATTTGATTTGGTTTGATTTGATTTAATCAAATCAAATTCAAATTAAGGATTTATTTGATTCGATTAATATTTGATTTGATTTGATTTGATTCAACTTTGAGGAACCCTAGTACCTTCATCAAAATGTATTTGTTTGGGGCTCCATTAGAAAGGGTATTATATAATTCTATAATCTAATAAAAGTAGGAAGCCAAAGAGGCTAACCTTGACTACAAAAAAAAATAAAGTTTTAATTAATTTAATATTTAGAGAGCTAAAAGAATTAAAGATGCTAAAGAGAAGAAGCCAACAAGACCTGAAGTTATTTCTTCTGAAGATTTACCAGAGACTTCTTCTCGTTATTTATCTGGACTTGCAAATTTAACTCAAGATTCTTCTTGTTATTCTTCTGGACTTACAGATTTAGCTCAAGAAGATCTACAAGAAGAGAAATCATCTTCAAATAAACGTGCAAAAATTGCATCTAGAGCTGCACCTAGAACTGCATCTAGAGAAACTGCACCTAGAGAAACTAAGTCTAGAGAAGAAACTCCAGAATATGAAGAACTAGAAGAAGAATAACCTGTAATTTAAATATTTTTTTTAATAGGCAAATCACGAGTCATCTAAACAAAATAATTTTTTTTTATATATAAATTTTATTATAAGCCCGAATGTGGAGCGTGCCTATCTAAAACTTTTTTCTTACTAAGTAAATTATACTTGGGCTTGTAACAAAAGTTGTAGAGCTCATCAAGAG